AGAAGGAGAGGAAAAAAAAATAGAGCACTCATGCTACACGGAGTTACGAAAGCAAGACAATCTACTCTACCATCGAGTGTAACTAGCACGTGTCGTCCTAAGGTCACGACGGGCGGAAGTGAAACGGAGCTCGATCGAAAGTGAGATTCACTCGATTCGGATTCGTCAGTTTAAGAAAATGTAATGAACGCAGGTTCGGATGGGCACGGTTCGCCCGTGGAACAAGGGAAAGTTTAAAAAGCCTTTGGCTACGCGGTAATTAGGCGTCTTTTTATTAATTAGCCAATTAAGTTGGCAGCGATCTTGATCCCCGACGCATCCTGCCGCGCTTCGTTAAAGGTCGTGATGCGCACTAGCGAAACCGAACGTAGGGACGCTGGAAAAAAAACGAGGGTGAAGCTATACGAGCTGGAACTCGCGGAGAAATTAATGTATAACGTTTACCATCGACACCGGAACTCGGTGGCGGTGCACACCCGCCGGAAGTGGCAGGTTTGCGGCGAATCGGCGACGCATCGATTGAATATATTAACTTCTTAACAAACAAGGATGTCTGGAAGATCTCATTTCTGTGTATGTCATTTTAGAGATTGAGAATTATACGCCCTATATCATTAGATTTTGTTACTTGACTATTGATCATTGAATATTGTCTAATATTTGCTAGTATAGATATTCTATTGTTTACACGATTTACATAACTTCGTTGAGTTATGTCAAATATACAAACATTGTAACAAACATTGAGTCTTGTTTTGTTTTTATGTTAACCCTTTTGTGCACCATACTGACTCGCGTGCAATCTCTATAAGTAGTTATTTCAATTTGAACGAAATTTGGCCATTTACTACCATTTGTCCATTTGAAGCTGTGAAAATTAAATTTAAACAGAATTTGACCATTTAAAGCTATATTATTATTATTAAAAATGCTTGATTATTATTATTTAAATTTGAATCTTACTCATAATTTAAACCTGCCGACTGACAAAAAGTCTGAATCGTCAATATCAGACGTTATCTCGGAAAGGTTAAGAGGTTAAACTCGATTGGCTTTCTTTTCTCTTGTCACGTGCAACAAGGTTCGGCGATCACGACTACGCGAAAAACATTTTTATATATTTATTTCGACCCATTAATTCGCGATTCCAGCATTGCCGGTTCAAGATGGATCCATGGCCCAATAAATTTATGCCAATGCGTTCCCGCGAGTGCAATTTCGCCGGTAATAAGAATCGATATCAGCCTCGATGGTTCCTGTACGATTGGTGCGTGCCTTTATCGCGCTCGAATTTAATTAACGCGCCACATTCGACGGGACCATCGAAGAAGAAATTACACGTTCTCGCATGCTGTTTTTTGCGCCTTTTTCTTATTTACGGATAAATTTATATCTGGTCGCTTCTCCTCTTCTCACTTTCTTTCTTTTTTTTTTTTTTTTACCGCTTTCCTACGTGTCCTTTTTTAGAACATTCGTCTCCTCGGGATGTTCCAAAATGAAGCAGAATGTGGAACATTGAGAAAGATCACGAGAGGGCATCGATCGAATGTTAAAATTGGTACAGTGTCGCTGTTCTTGCCTGACAACCATCAATTTGTGCGCACACATGTCGAATAACACGCTCATGGTACTTCAATTATGATGAAATGTTACGGGCTGCGTTCAGATAGGGGCAAGTTGATTAATTCTAGAAAATTAAAAAGATGGCTCTTTATAGAAATTATTTCACTCGTTTCAAAAGTATCGTAAAATTATTTATTGTCGCTTGTGTCCTAACACATGCACACCTAAATTTAATATTCCTTAAAAAATATTTCTTTGACCTTTTCTAGGGTTAACATTGAAAAACGTAGACACGTCTGTATCGTCGAGAACAAATGGAGAACAATTTGCAAGCTTCTATATTTTCTTCTTTTTGCAACCGCAATTTTAATGCACGATGTCTTCTGTGCAACAATATCAGAGTAAATACGTGTGTTTGTTATTAAGTTTTTCTGTACCCTAAAAGACATTTGGCGGCAAAGGGGTAAGAGAGCAGACAGCGAGCCATAAAATACGGAATCTCGATTATCATAAAGCCTTTCACCGGTCATTCACGTATTAATCCCCAATAAACGTGTGCGCGTCGTAGGCACGGCCGCCCCATCTCGTTGACCATCCGAGGCCCTCTTCGCTTTCCTCTCGTTGCATACGCTCGGGCCCCATTTAATTTCGGCCACCACCAACGTGAAAACGTACTTCGAAAAAAGGACATCCCCCCAACGTATGATCCTCTCCCCTGCGCGTGCATCCTTCTCCCTTGTGCGAAATGCAATTCCGGGGTGAGGTGCGGCAGGGAAAATTGTATAAACGGGATGCAACAAGGGTGACGCGACTACGGGGTGGCGAAAAAAAAGGACCGCGCACCAATGAAATATGAAAACAAGAGAGAGAGAGAGAGAGAGAGAGAGGAGAGATAAACAAATAAGAGAGAGAGAGAAAGAGAAGAGAGGAGAGGAGAGTAGAATTGGATATAGAGAGGCAGTTGTCCAGGGGTACACAGGTGTCGGTCTAGACTCTTTATACTCGCTGTTGCGTTAACAATGAGCGAAAGAGAGAGAGAGAGAGAGAGAGAGAGAGAGAGA